GACTTCAAGGACAATGTCCTTCCCGCACTGAGTTCCACCTTCCGGCTGCCAGGATTACCCAGCGTTAGAAACACAGGGTCTGGCACTCGCCCACAGGGACTTGAGACCAGCTTTACCAGGTACGTGTGACTGCAGCGCCAAAGTGAAGTCATGCCGCTCTTCTTCTAAAGAAATATAATTCAGTTTACCCAAAGGTGTGGTCTCAGCCTCAGAGCAGAAAAACGCTCTGCTTTGCTTGCCAAGAAAAGGGTCTTCCTGCTAGAACACTTCAGTCTCCTTGCATTCGTACACGCAAGATAAACTCAGTATTCAGAGCCTGACATGGCAGGCCTACGGAAGAGAGCTCCAGACTATTCTGTTTCCAGCACCTCCTTCAGTATGTGCAAACACTTCCTGAGAGACGCAAGTTCTTAAACCCAAATTGAAACAGCCCATAACGCTTCTATCATGGCATATATAATTTCGCAATCATATGAACATGAAAGTAGAGAATGTCTGAAACCATGCCCTTAACGTTGAATTTGGCCAAGTGACTTCCTTTGGGCAATGAAATGTGAGTGGAAGCGGCATGCCACTTCTGAACAGGAGCTTTGAGAGAACCAAGCAGACCCCTTGTTCTTTTCCCTCTGCCCCAACAGCTGTAAATGTCCCAAAAAGAGACGGTTACTCCAGCCGGGATCCTGAACTTAAGAAGGCACGCTGAGCAGAGACATGGCCAAAGAGAAGCTTAAAGATCACACGGCATAAAATTTAAAAATGCATTACACTAAGTCATCGAGAGCGCTGTGCAGGCTCTTTGCGAATCCCTCACAACCTAGCAACAGACGGCTTACATGAGAAACAAGCCACTTTTTTTTTTTTTTTTTTAGTTTTTGCTACGTGGCACATGCACTTGCAGAGAAAAAGAGAGACAGAGAGAAGGAATGTGAGAAATCCCCCAGGGGGATGGCCGCACTGCAATCTCCTCTCCTCCATTCTCCTCTTCGGATTGTGGGCACGCACGCAAGCACACGTGCCCGGCATATTTTACAAGCCACTGGGCCTAGGACTCAGACCACGGTCAGTCACGTGGGATCGAACCACCTTCACCACGCTGCTGGCGGGACCGAGCTACTTTATTTCTTAAGGTCTTAGGTCCTGCTGGCTTCTCAGCTAGGCAAAGGATAATCCAATGAATTACTTTTCAAAAAATAGATAAGATACTTGGATGTCGGTATAACCTCCTGTTTGTTTATTCCTCTCCACTATTTTTTGCTGACTCGTAAAAAGCATGCTGAGCAGAAAAAACTAAGGGAGAAATGTTAGTGCACGCAATTCACGTGGAGGCAGGGCACAGGTGTGCATGCAACCGTAAAGGAGAGGGTGGTGGGGGTCGGGGAAGAGCATGACACACGAGTGGCCCAGAGGCTCACAGGTAGAACACGGATTTCAAAGCAGAAGCCATCAGTCAAAAGTTTGGTGTTTCATGTAGATCAAATACTCCCCCTAAGGGAACCAGCAGTTGGCGTAATGGCTATGTCGCTGGACTCCCACGTAGTCGACCACGGTTCGCGTCCTGGACCCGGTGGCTTAAAACTCACGCCAGGCGCGTGTGTGTGCGTACCCAAGATCCCAAGAGGAGAATGGAGGAGAAGGGATTGTGGTGTGACCATCCCCCCTGGGGGGTGATTTCTCGCTTTCTGTCTCTATGTCTCTCTCTGTCTGTCTGGCGAGCGCACGCGCCCTATAGC